GGGAGATCCTTCTCTTTAAGTAACAGGAAAGACATCAATCAAAAGGGGGGGGRAAAAATCTCACAGCTGACATCTCAGATACAAATTGTTCAGTATTTTGGAGGAAAGATTTCATAGTTGGAAGAGTCAACATATTGTAGGAAATTTCATTCCCATAAAGATATTGCTTCCTCTATTTTAGAAATCTTGAATTGTGTACATTGCTCATCAAACAAGTTTCTGGAGAGATTTGTAATAYTTCATTTGCTTTATTTCTTTCAGAAAGAAAGATATCAAATTTTTTTTGATAGGGTTGCTTTAAGGATGAAAGGTGGGGGGAGAATAAGGTGATGTTGGCAGGTACTAATCTCAATAAACTCTTACATGGAGTGGTATTTAAATGTTCTTTTGATTATAACTGTTCAAAAATGAGCATATGGTATTTGTATCCAGGTATGTCCAACAAAAATCACCAATCTTTAAAAGCCAAAGTTATTTTTCAAAGCCCCAGGTTAGATATACAATTTGTTGTAATTTAGGCTAGTTGACATAATAAATGTCACTGTCAACTATGTTTATCYTATAAACAACTTTTCTTTCTAGTACCTTCCTCTTTCAGTGCTATTACAAAATGTTAAAGACCAAATTAGTTTAATAAAAAATTAACATCACTACCCATCTATTTGCAGCTGCCAGTTACTTTTTCCTAGACGGCATACTGCATGGCTTAAAGTTCAGCAATATTTTTCATACAGGACTTGTTTACAACTATTATAATTAATTTAAAAACTTAAATGGTCAAACAAAATTCCTAGAAAGAAAGAAACAAAGATACTTCATTATTCTGGGTTTCCAACTTTCACTCCTAAGATTTCTATGCCTTCCCCACAACCACCACATTTCTTCAGTCTACCAAAATGGAGGGTATAAGCATCTGGGTGCACCAATGATTAAGAGTGCATATCTGATCAAATCTTTAAAGTCTGTTATATCTGATTATGTAATGCTATTCCYTAAATCTGTAGCATCCTACCCTAGATCAGGAAGGCAATCTGGTACACTGAAAAATGTATTCTTCAGCGTCAACCATAGATTCTAAAGTTAGAGAAATCTGTGTTAGAAATCCAGCTTGTTTTCTAGTAGCGTATTTAGCAGGGTATGCATTTATTTTACAACCCAGGGTCTCTAGTTTTCTTATTTCTTCATTGGAGAAAAAAAGAAATCACGTATCTTGAAGCTTTGTTGGGAGAATCAGAGAAAATAAACATAAAAAGCACTGAACACAACGACTAGCACATAGGATAACAAATAAATTGTTACTTTGGTTGTATTATTGGGGGGGGGGCATTTCTGAAATACAACTAAGCTAGAGAACACTGTTGTTTGGGGGTATTTTTGAAATAGGACTAAGCTAGAAAATGTGAACTCAAACTTATGACATTATCTTGGATGTCATTGAAAAACTTCCTTTAAGTCTAACATTTTCATTTATAAGAATTTATTTGGTCTTTCAATACTAGAAGTATTTCTCTTAATATCAAAGATACCTTAGAGAAGAAATTAAAAATTAGAATTAGTCCCCTACTCTCAAGAAACTTACATTTTAGGAAAAGCAAGACATTAAACAGGCAATTACACAGTTATTTAATTACCATCATGATCAATGTGGTAAAGAAAGTGTGCTAAAGCAGGAAATGACCTAACAAGATCAGAATTAAAATTTCTATGCAAACATACCACCTCCCTTCAAGGTTTTCAATCACTCYCTCTCTAATTAAAGCTAATCCAAGCCTTTGAATAGACTTGATTTGTTTGTTTTTTTAGAACAACAAAATAAGTAATTAACCTGCCCAGGCCATTTTTATGTTCAAGACTGCAAAGTAAAATTTTAGAAACTGTGTATGAAATCTACAAATAAATTTCAAATATTTTATATAGCTTTTTTTTGTTTTGTTTTGTTTTGTTTTTTTGTTTTTTTGCTGTGCTGAGGATTGAACCTAGGGGATCACTCATGTGTGGCAAGCACTCTACCACTGAGCTACATCCCCAGTTCCACAATGACTTTTTAGTTTAAGAAAAAGCTAAGATATAATATAGGTAAGTGCTTAGCTATTCCCTATAAACTTGTGAGAAAATGTATTTCTTGATAGATTATAAAACCAATGTTTACTGAATGTGTATGCCATGATTCRGGACAATTCATTTTCAGGATCTTTTTATTGCGGTGTATATTACTTATTAATGAAAAAAAAATTATTTCTGTAATTTAAATATCACAACAGTTCTAATTTGCTTACTAAAGGAGAATTCATCACTTGACCACCTTTTAAAATCTGCCACCTTAAAAAAAATTAGTAACAAAAAATTGTAACATCCTTTTTAAAGATACCTTCAAGATTCCTAACTTCAGAAACTAGTACATTGATGTAGAATAGTGCTATCAAAGTCCCAAGTAACCATAATAGGGAAAACTGGGTAATCAGATCAATTCTTCCCACCAACTATGTTCTATAAAACAGAAACTATGTTCTATAAAACAGAACTACCTCAATGTTTGTCTTCTAACATTCACCTATAAATTAATTCAAAACAATTAATCCAGAATAGTCTTTGTTAATTCTCCAAAAGTGGCCCCTTCACCTATATTTAGTTTATAAGGCAAGTCAGTCAAGAATTCTTTCTGCCAATTGTAATGAATGGAAAAAATATATTTAAATCAAATAGCACCATCTAGCAGAACCCTCATCACTTTGCTCATAAGAGTGAATGTTACTTGATGTTCAGTTTGGTAGATATGACAACAAAAGTGGCAATTTGTTTTCATAACAGAATCACAGAATTAGAGCTAGAAAGGACCACAGAACACACTAGGTCCAACTTCCTTGTTATAATCAGCAAATTTACAAAGTCATCAGGATACAAATTAGATTGAGTCAAAATTTACCCCCTCCCAGGAGTCCAGCTAAAATCCAAAATTACTTTGATTCTCAAATTCAATCACCTCAAAATAAATAAGATTATGCTTCATTAAATTTCAATTTCTTCACCCCCAGTAATGTGAAATCCAAATATTCTGTAATCATTAAACATCTTCCTTAAGACATTTTTATCATATAACCAAATGATTAATGCACACAAATTAGTCTGTAATTCAAAACTTCAACTTTAGTTAAACGCTGTGTCTTAAATCAGACAATAATACTGTGACTCTTATACATTCCTTGTCAGAGCAACAAGGTTCGGATCTAAAAAGTAGATCTAAAAAATAACAGCATCTCTCCCTTTTTTTTGTTTTTGGTTTTTGGGTTTTTTGCTTTGTTTTGTTTTGCTACATCAAGGCCTGCCACCCCTAAATCCTATGGGAATTGTGTATGTTGATGCCAACACGAAGATTAGGAAATGTTCCCATCCCTGGGGCACAACAAACTTTCAGGGGAAAAACTGCCCAAAGCAAGGAGGGAAACTTAGTCGTTTGTCTGCACATTYGGTTTTTATTTACGCAGCTATTTCTGTGCGCAAGGTACCCAAAGTACCTCGGAGTGATGCTCTTAGACTTTCCCCCAGTCTGCACCCCCTCCGAAAAATAGAGTGCATTCAATGACAAGGATAAGCCTGCCCCTCAAGAGTTGAGACGGTTACTGGGAATCAGTTTGATCTGCTACACAGAAAAATAAAAGGCAGCGGGGCTGGGGGGGGGGTTCTTCCTCAGTAGTCACAGTCACTATTTGCTCTCATTTTTAGTAACAACCAAATCACCGTTACAAGTACACAAGAATAGCAGCAAACAACCCTGCTTTGCAGTGTGCCGTGACGGTGGCATCCCTGGCCGGGAGGGGCTCTTTTCTGGCCAGCCTCCTCTTGGGTTCCCACCGAAGTTAACACCTGTATCTCCCCACTACCCCAACCAAGCAGCTTCTGCCCACTTCAGCGTTTCTCTCCTCCCTAAAAACCCCTTTTCCGATTGTTGCCTCCTGCCCACTGCAGAAAGCCCTCTTCGCGGCGGAGCTGCGGCTCACACAATTCCCCTTCGGCTTGCCCCAGGACCACCGCCCAGCAGGGACCGCCCCGCCAGCTGCCCACCAGGGGCCCCCGATGTTCGGAAGGCAGCAAGTCTCCACAAAAAGTTCTCCAGTCGCCTCTACTGCGGAGTTGGGTCTGCAGCGAGAAGCAGAAATGCCAGCCTCCTCCAGCAGATCCCTCTCCTAGCCAGCACACTTTTTCTCCCCGGGAACTCGGTCCTTCTCTGACTCCCAAACTTCAGCAGTGTCCCTCGCGCCCACCCACCCCAGCCCTGGCCCCACTGCCCGAAACACCAGGCAAAGCAGACGTCGCGCGGGATCTGCCAGTTGGGAAAAGCCCCGACGCCCACCGGGTCCACGCCCGCACACGCCCTCAGTGCCCCGCGCGCGCCTCCGCGCCCCGCGGGGCCCCGCTCGGCCGCTCTGCGCCCAGCTTCCGCCCGCCGCGCGCCCGGCACCGCCGCCCTCGCCTCGCCCTGCGCTCCCGGCCCCGAGCCCCGGCGCCGGGGCTCCAGCGCCGCGCTCCTGGAGCCGCCCGCTGAGACCCCAGCCCGCTYCGCCAGACACCACAGTACCACCGTGCGCCCTCCTCCACGCAGCTGCCCCCTCCCCGCGACCCCCGGAGGCTCTCCAGGTCCCCGCAGCCCCGGACCCCAGCTCTAAAGTTACTTTGTGAGGAGGTGAACCCGCGGGTTATTTCCCTCAATCACCCAAACAAGTTTACATCCTCAGCACCAGTACCGCCGCCGCCCCCCAACATACTCGCTTCCCTCCCAACAGCCCCCCATGGCCGCCAGCCCCGAGCCAGCACCTCCTGAGAAACAGCCGCTCCCCGCACCACACGCCCCCACCTCGCACACCCCTCCCCCTGCCAGCCCACCCCCGGCTCTCCCCGGGCGGAGAGTGTCTGTGTGTCTGTGTGTCTCCCAGAGAGTGTGCGAGAGCGTGCGTGAGTGTGCGCGCGTGTGAAGGCGGAGGTGGGTGAGAAGCGGAGACACTTACTTCTCCCGGGCCTGGCTGTCGGACGGGACGGCGCTGCTGTTACTCTTGCCTTTGCCGTACATGCTTGTGCCGAGAGCAGCTCCCACTGTCACGCACCTGTCAACCCATCACAGCCTCCCCGGGAACAGCCCCGTCCCCATGGCGACCCACGCAGCCACCCCCACTATTGGCCGCCCCACGCCAAAGCTCCGCCCTCTTCTCCCAGGCAACGCCAGAGACTGACAGGCCTCCCCCTCCCTTCGGCCTTCCGAAGCGCGCGGTGGCGGCTACAGCCTAAGCGGCAGTCTCCTCCCTCCTTCCCTCCCTCCCTGGTTCCCTCCCTCCCTTCTTCCCTCTCCTCTCTCCTCCCTCCTCCCGCTCTCCTTCCCCCCTCCCCCTCCGAACCCGGGCGCAAGGGGGGAATTAGAAACTGCTCTAGAAGGATTTTAAACAACTGGCTGTTCTCTCCGCCGCCGCCCCTCCCCCTGCRCCGCCCGCGCTCGGCTCCTCACTGGAGAGAAGGCGCCGGGAGGAGGGGAAAGTGCGGCCTGGAGTCTTTGGCTGGAGCCGGTGGAGCTGGAGCCGTAGCGGCCCCAGACTTCGGGGCGCCCGCCGAGTACACAGACAGACCGACGGCCTCTGCCGCCCTGGGGGCCCCCACCAGCCTCCGGTCCCGCTCTTCTCWTGTCGGTGACCCCGCGCCAGTACCCACGATTGATCTTTACCGCCCTCAGCCCTACTCCCTGGGGTGTAGCCCCCGCCCAGCTCCCGGAGGSCCGGCTGGTGAGGGACGCCCGCGCAGTTCCCTCGACCTTCTCGCTGAGCGACCTAAGCGACTCGCTTTCCCTCCTGGGGAGGGACTGCGCCTCAGGCTCTGGGCGCCGCTGAGGTGGCGTCGCTGCTTTCCCTGGGCCGCGCCCTGCGCCCCAGGGGAGCACCCTGCCTCGGGCCTTCCTCCTCTGGAGGAGGTCAGCAAAATTCCCAAAGAGGCCCAGTGACCGAGTCCTGGGACCGCAGTGCCCTACTACCCTGACCCCTTCCAAGCCGGACACACCGCACATCCTGCCAGAACTGCCGCAGAAAAGAGTCCCAGGCATCCCCACCCCGCCTGGTTTAATAGTTTTGGTGGTGATGCCGGTTCATTCTGGTCCCTGAACTGGAAGAGGACCTAAAGAGCCAGGATAGCCTTTCCCTATCTTTGCCCATCAGCGTAGGCCCTAGGGAACTCCAGGGTGTGGAAAGCTCTGCCAGAGGCGAAAAGCTACCCAAGAATATTTCTGGATCCAAGTCCCTAACCCCATTTTAGAAAATGCATAGAAGTTTCTGAAACACACACAACCTGGTTTCTCATAGAACTTCATCCTTTATTTTGTTGAAGATTCTTGATTGTTAAATCGGACCCGGTGCGAATGGGGTTAGAAAGAAGAAATGAACTTCAAAAGGGAGGTGACTTGGGAAAAGAGGTGCAGTTAAGATGGGACAGGGAAACATCAAAAAAGGATGAATAAAAGAGAAACATCTATAGGAAGGGAGAGGAAATAGCATTCAAATGAGGAAAGGTATCTTTCTATTCCACACATACAGCTTTAAGTATTTAGTAGTAGGATCATAAAAATGCATATGGAGATACTAAGATAGATGAAATGTTGTGGACATCCAGAGCAAGTGATAGAAATAAAATATCAACAGAAGGTTAAAGAAGGACGGTTAGTAAAAATGAGAGAGAATCAGGAAAAAAGTTGGCAACCAAACATAAAGTCAGGGAAAAATAAAGAGGAAGAGTCTGCTATACTACCGTTAAGGTAAATGAAAAGAAAAAAATCAGAAAAGTAAGCTGTAAAAATAAAGGAAATAAGAATAGAATAAATAGGATTAAATGAAGAAGTCAAAGAMTGTGACAGCAAAAGAAGATGACAAAAATAAAAAGGCAGACATGATAACAAGATATAAGAAAAATAAAAGCATCTTTATTAAAGGACAAAAACATCACTCAATAAAATGAGTGGGTATACAAAAGGTGAAAAAATGACATTGATTTAAGTAGATTAATTTCTAAGAGAAGTAATTTGCCATTTCTAACTTCAAATTTTTCCTTCTGTTTCTAATGATTTACAGCGACTTGGTGGTCAGGACATTACATTCATGGACTCTGAGAATCTGAAAGAGTAAGGCTGAACCAGCAAGTTCTCTTTTGGTGAACTTTTGCTCAAATGTGCAAAAGGTTGCCACCCTTTACAGATGCTACTTTCAAAGTTAGCATAACAATTTTACAATTTGTAATTTTACAAAAAAAAAAAATTACAAAATTACAATTTGTTTTTCAATGATCTTCTTCCATTAGCTTTAATCCAGAAATTTTTTACCATCTCCAGGCTCCACAGAAACTATAGATACTCTTTAAAATATGCTACTCAGAAAACAGGGTCAAGGAGAGACCACAGGCAGCTGCTGATCTACACTCTGTCCACACCTGGGAAAGGGAAGATTTCTGTTAAAAAGCAAGGGTGGGGGAGGTATACTGGTGCATGCCTGTAATACCAGTGGTTTAGGAGGCTGAGACAGGAGGATCCAGTGTTCAAACCCAGCCTCAGCAAAAGGGAGGTGCTAAGCAACTCAGTGAGACCCAGTCTCTAAATAAAATACAAAATAGGGCTGGGGATGTGGCTCAGTGGTTGAGTGCCCCTGAGTTCAATCCCTCGTACCCCCCCCCAAAAAAAAAAAAAAAAAAAAACAAGGGTAGGCTTTGTACTATTTTTTGTCAATTAAATAACAGTTATTATTCTTGCACTGGTATTGGGATTCCTTTATATGTTGGTCATGGCATATTTGAATTGCCTTAGGGTTTATTTTTGCAGGTTTTTGTTGGTTTGTAGATTGAGTCAGAAAGTTGGGGAAAAGACTCAGGCACCTGTAGACTTCAAGTGATTCTTATGTTTAGCCAGGGCTACTTACCTTTACCCTTCAGTATTCATTTAAAGATAGTCCATGAGTACCATCAGAGCTTAAAGGAAAATTTTAGGTTGTAGCTGTACATAATAGATGACCCACCTCTGGTAAGGCATGAAGATATGTTGATAGTGAACTTCACTTTCTGCCACCAAGCCAAGAAACTTGTTAATAGGATGAACATGGAAGACCATTTGTGTTCTTACAGTACAAGACCACAAAAAGCCATGGTCTAATTTACTATTTCCTAAAGAGAAAGAAAACAGGAGAAGCTGTTTGCTGCCTACTACAGTAATTTATTCATTTGATTGGTTTTTACCCAGATTTGTTACATGAAAAAGTCCTTTGGATAATGGCATATTTTCTGATATTTAAAAAATAAATAAATTATAGATCTGCACAGTGGGATATGAAATTCACAACAATTTGGTCTTAGAATCTAGAAAGAATAAAATGCTAAAAGGTCTTAGTTCAGAACTTGCCAAGTTAATGTCAGAGTTACCTTTACAAGAATGTTATCATCCAACAAATATACAAAGGGAAAATATGACTTTTATATGTACTTAAATCTTGTATATGGTAACCTTAAAGCTTAAGTAATCAAATCAATTATCATTAAAACATCTCAATAGCTACCTGTACCATTTCTGTTCTATTTTCCTCTTAATGTTTACACATGTAAATAAAATGCTTCTTTGCCCTTGTTCAAATTATTTTGAGTACAAAGAGTGTTCTTTGCATCAGCAACTATACCTCYGGGGACCAATATTGTAATTAATGAGATTTGAAACACATATTCAGAGCCAAATTCGAGATCCCAGAGACAGAATTGAAGATCCATTGTTTTGTTTGTTTTCATTTTTTAAAGGGAGGAAGATATTGGAAATGTAAAACTTCCTAATATGAAGAATCACAGTATATTTTAGAGGGTTTTTAAATTGTTATTACTATAGAAGGTTTATTAATTTAAGGGAACTGGATTTTGGAGAGGGCAATGCTGACCAGCTAAGCYTTTGCATTTTTCAATTTTTTTAAACTTTATTCTTTCAGATATAGAATGTCACAGTTACTCAGTAGATTCCACCACTCTACCATCCCCCACAACATATATACATCCATTTTGTTTGCACTATTTTCTCTTTCTGAAACCTGCATCTTATTCTCAGAAATCTTCATCATTTTAAAACAGAGAGGTCATTATACAAGGCTGCTCAAACTCTAGATTGACTATGCATTTGTTCCATCCTAATTTTTCTCTAAAACATTAAGGTTAATAATGTCTACACTCTTATAGTGGATGGAACCCTGGAAAGGATTTACCTGTGTTATACAGAACAAAGAGACTACTTCTATATGTTTAAAATGTAGCTAATCATGAATTGAATTATTTGCATCATATAGAACACTTAGCATGTTAACTTACAAAAGAAAACCATTTAAAATTAAAACATTTACTAAAAAATACAAATGAACCATTTTAAACATTAACATTACTTTTTATTTTGGGATAATTTTTCCAAAGAACAAAAAGTTCTATTACTTATTTCATAAAACTAATAAGTTTATGGAAACAACTCAGTTCCATTCATACCACTTTTCATTTCAAATCATAACAGATATTCATTAATATTTAATATAACCCAGTTAAGTAAATTTTGATAATCTGTTTTCTAAACTGGGTAAACTGAGTCCTGGAAAGATTTGTAAGCATCATCTGATCCATAAAGAAAACAACTAGTACTAGAGGAGAACTCCTTGTTCTTGGCTGACAGTCCTATTCCCAGATCATGAAGCCGCACCTCTTTCTCTCAGAAGTGACTATTCCATAGAGGAATGTGAGCAAGCTATGAGATGTTTGTCACTCATACTACCTTATGAAACTTCAYTCCCAGGCAGAACAGACCAGCATGCTCAGATTCACTAACTGTTCAAATGCCATGGACCAAAATTATGGAAGGACTAGTCATTGCAACTCTAATACTGCGCAATTTAGTCACTTATAGCAGAATAATAAAGGAAATGGGGCCTCCATTTAACATTATTTGACACACTGTTATTGGTTTAACATCAGTTAATCTGAGACAATAACTGTTTACTTAACCTATTGCCCTGGACTTTTAAAATCCCAACTTAAATATTCATAAAAACCTACCATGGGTTAGGAGAGACAATGAGCAGATAGATCAGTTTCAATTCTCGAGTGCCTAGTCTTTTTTTTTCTCCATCAATAATCTGAAGTTCATAATTTAGAATAAAATAAAATAATCCTTATACGAAGAATGAAGCTAATGAAGCTGAAAGCTGAAAATGAAGAAAA